TAGCCCAGAGAGGGCTCCAGTCTTCGAGTTTAGTCCAGAGAGGGCTCCAGTCCCAGAGTTTAGCCCAGAGAGAGCTCCAATCCCCGAGTCTAGCACAGAAAGGGCTCCAGTTCCCACGTCCAGCCCAGGGAGGGCTCCAGTCCCCAAGTCAAGCCCAGGGAGGGCCACAGTTCTCGAGTTAGGCCTACGGAGGGCCTCTAAAGACGATATTCTCCCCAAGGTTTTTTTTTTTGGGGGGGGAGTACTAGGGGTCCGTCCGTGGAGGCTGGGCAGAGTGCTGAGGCCAGGCTTCCCGAGCTCCCTGCTCCACCATGGCTTCCTGAACTGTCTGCTCCGCCATGGCTCCCCGAGCTTCCTGTTCCACCATGGCCTCCTTAACTGCCTGCTCCGCCATGGCTCCCCAAGCTGCCTGCCTGTACCGCCCTGCAGGCCGTCCGTCCCTGTAAGCCTATCCTGAGAGGCCTCCAGAGCGCCCACCCCCCAGTAATGTCAGACTCTGTTCCGTGTTTTGTGTTTTGCTCCCCACGTGTTCGATGACCCAGTTTTCCCTCATGTGTAATTAGGTTTCACTAGTTCCAGGTGTGTCTCGTCATCCCATCCTCTAGTCTTGTGTATTTATAGTGTGTCCTGTTCATAGTTTTCTTTGTCCGGTATTGTATATATCAATCTCCCCTGCTACGTGTGTTTTCCTGGTTCCCTGGATGTAATTAAAGTCTCCTTGTTGATGTACTCCTCGTCTCCTCGTTTCTCGCTCTGCAGCTCCCTCACAGTAGCAAACGTGACAACGAAGTATAAAGCACAGCTCACATGGAAGTTACTTGCATACCAATCACCTTATTGTTGGTCAGAGTGGCATGACCAACTTAAACCCTTGGGAAATCTGCATGGAGAATTCTTTTTGCTCTCACACAAAATTCCCAATTGTGTGGATTCCCATTCAGATGGATAGATTAAATGTGAACAGTAAATGTGATCCAGTTGGAAGATAAATGAAATGAAATGTGGAGGATGTTAACTGTGACAAGATGATTGACAGGCCAGTTTCCAGTGACAGGGTAACAGGTGCGACAGAGTGGCAATTGTGTGACGTGATAGTATGTCCCAAAGCTTGCCTACTCTTCTACTACACACTCAAAATTGTGTATTTTTCTTCACCTAAAGAGTACTTTAAGGGAGTAGTATTAGCAGGCACACTGAGACGCAGCATATGGTCAGTGTTTTGTGTTTTGCTCCCCATGTGTTTCATGACCCAGTTTTCCCTCATGTGTAATTAGGTTTCATTAGTTCCAGATGTGTCTCGTCATCCCATCCTCTAGTCTTGTGTATTTATAGTGTGTCCTGTTCATAGATTTCTTCGTCCGGTATTGTATATGTCAACCTTCCCTGCTACGTGTGTTTTCCTGGTTCCCTGGATGTAATTAAAGTCTCCTTGTTGATGTATTCCTCGTCTCCTCGTTTCTCCCTCCGTGCTCCCTCACAGTAGCAAACGTGACAGAATTCCAGACCCGCAAACAGTAAGCGGCGCCCCTTCTCCCCGTGTTTTTGTTTTCCCTTGTTTTCTTATAAACAAGTCAAGTCCGTTTCTCAGTCAAGCCCACCGGCCGCTCCAGTGTCAAGTCCGCCGACCATGCCATTCACCCTGAACCTAACTAGGAATCTAAGGAGGAAAAGGCAGTTGGTTCTAATCCCTAGGCTCACTCCAGTGTCGGCTCCAGTCCCCGAGTTTTGCCCAGAGAGGGCTCCAGTCCCCGAGTTTAGCCCAGAGAGAGCTCCAGTCCCAGAGTTTAGCCCAGAGAGGGCTCCAGTCTTCGAGTTTAGTCCAGAGAGGGCTCCAGTCCCAGAGTTTAGCCCAGAGAGAGCTCCAATCCCCGAGTCTAGCACAGAAAGGGCTCCAGTTCCCACGTCCAGCCCAGGGAGGGCTCCAGTCCCCAAGTCAAGCCCAGGGAGGGCCACAGTTCTCGAGTTAGGCCTACGGAGGGCCTCTAAAGACGATATTCTCCCCAAGGTTTTTTTTTTTGGGGGGGGAGTACTAGGGGTCCGTCCGTGGAGGCTGGGCAGAGTGCTGAGGCCAGGCTTCCCGAGCTCCCTGCTCCACCATGGCTTCCTGAACTGTCTGCTCCGCCATGGCTCCCCGAGCTTCCTGTTCCACCATGGCCTCCTTAACTGCCTGCTCCGCCATGGCTCCCCAAGCTGCCTGCCTGTACCGCCCTGCAGGCCGTCCGTCCCTGTAAGCCTATCCTGAGAGGCCTCCAGAGCGCCCACCCCCCAGTAATGTCAGACTCTGTTCCGTGTTTTGTGTTTTGCTCCCCACGTGTTCGATGACCCAGTTTTCCCTCATGTGTAATTAGGTTTCACTAGTTCCAGGTGTGTCTCGTCATCCCATCCTCTAGTCTTGTGTATTTATAGTGTGTCCTGTTCATAGTTTTCTTTGTCCGGTATTGTATATATCAATCTCCCCTGCTACGTGTGTTTTCCTGGTTCCCTGGATGTAATTAAAGTCTCCTTGTTGATGTACTCCTCGTCTCCTCGTTTCTCGCTCTGCAGCTCCCTCACAGTAGCAAACGTGACAACGAAGTATAAAGCACAGCTCACATGGAAGTTACTTGCATACCAATCACCTTATTGTTGGTCAGAGTGGCATGACCAACTTAAACCCTTGGGAAATCTGCATGGAGAATTCTTTTTGCTCTCACACAAAATTCCCAATTGTGTGGATTCCCATTCAGATGGATAGATTAAATGTGAACAGTAAATGTGACCCGACCTTTAGGGCTACAACAGCTTGTCACTGGGAAGGTAACCTTAAGGGGGTTCATATAGTACCTTACTACTTTGTAGTAACCTACTGCCTTTCTACATTAAGGTACTAATAAACAGTTTTAGTTCCCATTGACTTTTTATTTTTTGACCATAGAATGGACGGCAATGGTAATGGCAAAATTATTCATTCTTCAATTCATTGTAAAAATACATTATTTTACGTTCCACTGAAGAAAGACAGTCATACAATTTTGGGGGGAAAAAATCATATTTTTCATTTATCTTTAAGATTACAAGCTGTCACATCCCTAAAAGTAAAATTTTTGCACATTTTTTTCTATATGATGTCCTTACAAATATAGTGACACCAGCAAACACAAATATAGTGAATCTCTTAAAGGCACAATATGTAATTTTCGCCGCTAGAGGGCGCGTATTCAAAATAAACAAAGAGGCAAAGGCTAGTTTGATGACACCGTGACGTAGTGTGGAGTCATGGAAGTTGTTGTCTTCATCCCCACAGCCGATGCAATCCGACGGGACTCGGGCAGAAATCATGTTCATGGATGAGCTAATGATTTATTAACGTAGTAGAATGAAGCAGGGTGAGGCTGAAAGCTGTCGAAGTGAAACAAGGCCGCTGAACAAGCACGACACACGGCTCGAAAGCAGTGGAGCTTTTATTATGCCACAGTCACCGCTTCCGCTCCTTCCGGTCATGCGTATGTGGGAAAAAAAAGCAGTGCTGTTTTATCATACTAGATACATTTGAAAGTTCTGTTATTATGCTACTCTGTGCGGTCGTCACCGGTCTAATAAAACGCACAACGTACTAAAGTGTCTTTGGTCTTTCCATGTTTTCTACAAAACAAAACCGGAAATCGAGGGGTTAAGACGTCATTTGCAGGCGAAACAATATGGACACGGTCCGTGTCACTAGTTAAAATTGCTTATTTCTCTGGATTTAAACATTCTTCGAAACATTTGGGATAATGTAAGTACACAAGTCAGCAAAATATATAACACTGTTCTAGTGGTTTTTGGATATTTTAATAAAAAAATCTTACATATTGTGCCTTGAAGTACCTCGTACTGTGATGGCAATAGACGCTCTAATCTTTGATTCTCCACAATGAGTTACGAGTCAATGAGGCAGCACAGATCAAAACTGGGAACCACTACAGTATATTTAAGTCCTTTCTTTAATTCTCTACTGTCCTTTTGCTGCCTACTGTTTACCTTCCACATAATTTACTCATAATTGCACGACCATGCTATATGATGTCCATAAAATGGAGTCATTCCATTTTGGCTGGCTAAAGCTCGACAGGGCAGACCTTCATGCTGAGTTGACTTTAATGACTTTTTAATAGGTCTCTCCATTTTAAAGATGCAGTACAACAGCTCCAGTCATTTTATTGGAATGATGAATGATTGAGAGGGGGCTAACATTAATTTAATTTACAGTGCAGGCTTCCCATCTTTAAAAGCCCAAGACGGCATCGCAAGAGGCAAAGAAATAGAGAGGGATGGGGTGCATTCACAAAGGCTGGGGTGATTTATGAAAGCAGCATTGTTGTTTTCCCTTATCTCTAATTAGACGCTTGTCGTGCTAACTGATTTCAGTGTCAAAGCAACAAGACATGGTTAACAAGACAGGCCGCTTTGTTCTACATCATTCATCATTCTCAAAACATTCACTCAAGTCAAAATGTCCAAACATGTCCTGACACCCCACATGCTTAATTAGACTCTGAGTCACCTGCATGGAGGGACTGAAATGATTTCCTCCATGGATATACAGTATGTAGCTCACTGACAACCAGGATTCATTTCTCGTTCATTTCTCAGAGGGTTTGAAGCATGTGTGTGTCTTCAAAGACAAACTTTACAGTGTGCTTAAAACGACATGCCCTACAACAGAAATAAAAAACAGGTTTTGTTTTATGCTCTAGTAGTTCTGTGGAATAGTGCCCTCTGCAGGCTGTTTGAGAAAGCAAACTCATTAAGCAAGAGCTCAGGGAAAACTTCACTAGGTTCAACTAGCCGTAGGTTGTTGTGAGAGTTAAATGTCCTCATCAAGGGCCTCAATTGCCCTAGTTTGCTGCCCTACACCTGTCATTTTACCTCTTACCTGTAAAACTCTCTCTCCCCCTCTCCCCTCCTTCCTTTCCTCTAGCTACTCTATAAAAATGGGTTCATGCCACACAAGGCAGTGAGATTTGTATTGTATTGTAGACATGAAGTCCATTCTCTCTCTCTCATCTGTTCTGTTGATTCTAGAACTCTGCTCAGGTAAGATCTATCTATCTGTCTGTCTGTCTGTCTGTCTATCTATCTATCATCTATTCGGCTGGCTGGGTGGTCTCTGGCTATTTAACTGTCTATCTGGCTGTGTATCTCTCTGGCTGTCTGGCAGTATAGTTGAGTAAATGACTGCTCTAAGCAAAACAAAAGAGGCTAAATTTTGAAATGACAAAATGCTAAATTAAATTCTTGTATGTCTTGCACAAAAATATATAATTATTTAAAATATAGTCCATATAATTATTCCATAGTATAATTATTTGAAATATAATAGGTTATACATTTAGAACGCCAAACTGCTAAATCATGGGGTAATTTTCCTTTTTGGGTGAACTATCCCTTTAAAATCACCATAAAAAGATAGATTTGGAAGTAGAAAGACTGAAATATTTTCTTGTAAAAGGTATAACTCCAATAATCTTATTATCTATTTACAACTTGGAAAATTCACGACTTCCTTTCATTTGTGGAGAAAAGAAGAAATACAGTGAAAGTCAATGGGGTCCAAAGAAACAACAACATTGGTCCCCATTAACTTCATCTTCTTTTGTGTTTCATGAACAAAGAAAGTCATACAGTTCTGGAACAACGTGAGAGTGAGTAAATGATGAATTTTCCTTTTTGTTCAAAAATGTTATTTTACCATTTTTTTCTTATGCTCTAAACAATGTAATGACATGAAAAAATACTACATTCACAAAGCTTTTTATTTCTGGTTCTCAGGAGGTTAAGTTAAAAAAAATCCATTCAGTTTAATTCAGTTGAGTTTACCCGATTTACTTCGAATTCCGTTACCTTTTAAATCTTGTAATTGTAACAGTTAAGTATAATTACAAGCTCCATGCTTCTTTCCAGCTCACTTCACACTTCCTCAATCTGTGCGTCTCCGTGGTGGAGGTCTGCCAGCCACATACAAGGCCGTCCAGTTCCACCTGCACTGGGGAGAGAACGGCAGCCAGGGCTCAGAGCACTCTGTGGACGGGGAGCGATATCCCATGGAGGTGAGAGTCCATGTCACTATCAAACATATATGTACAATAAAAAGCTAAAAAGCCTATTCTTTTCTTCAAGTTACATTATGATGGGTATTAATTATGCATTTTGTCCCCCAGCTCCATATTGTTCACATTAAAGAAAAGTATGGCAGCTTGGGAGAGGCTCTAAATGACTCCACAGGGGTGGCAGCACTTGGCTTCTTTTTTGAGGTACTGATGCCTTTGTGATATTTCATATCTCATACCTAAAAACATTTTTGTGAGAAAATTATCTGAACACAAACTCTTAAACTGATAGCACACAAACAGTTCTATTTTATATAATTGAGATACTATTATAGTTTTTATTAATATTTTGAATTCGTTTTTGTTTTTATTTTTTGTTTTGTTTTCATTTTAATTTCAGTTAAAGTTTTAATAGTTTTGTTGTATATTTTGTCCTTTTTATTATTTTATTTTTTAAAATGTTTATATAATTTTCATTAATTTTTATTTTAATTATTTTAGTTCAAGTTAAACTAAATGAAAATAAGAACGGTTGCCTTGGCAACTAGCTAAAATAAAACAAGTTTAAAGGTTTATATATATATATATATATACTGTATATACACACACAGAGTTCTGGTATGAAACTCTAGATGGCGCAGTCTTATAGGTCTAACACAGTCTGACCTAATGACATCATTATCACATGGCACAGCTGATTGGTTCTCTCCTGTATCGGTAGCCAATGAGCTCGCTGGTCAACATTCAAATATATGACTAGTGCTTGCTGTAGCAGTTGCAACTTGCTTCAGGAACCCTCCACCTTCCCCAGCTCCACCTGTATAGATCTACTACGAGGTGATTCATGTATGCTATATGGGGTTATTTCATGTATGTTATGTTTGCAGCAGCAATATTTCTTACATGCTCACAGCAGCATGTTGTGGATGTATTGACAGTAGCAAGTCTCGGTACTTGCTTTGCCGCAGCAGCAGCGTAGCAGATCTATTCCGCCAAGACCAAATACATTACACAATGTACATTACCATGCCAATCCCTGAGAGTTGTCAAGACAGATACACAGTATATATTTTATTAGTTTATTCCAAATTAAAATAACTAACATTGTTCCATAAGTCAAAATGTTTTCCGTGAATGTCCATATTTCCATATAATAAAAGTGAATGAAGACCAGTACTTTCAAGCTAAAAAAAAAATAATTTAATGAACAAATCAATGTGAATCACATGAATGTGCGCCAATCACATGAATGTGCAGTGGAGATGTAAAGATTTACACTGAATAATTTCCAGATCAACCCCGTACAATGTTTTATATATATATATATATATATATACACACACACACACACATACAGTGTATATATATATATATAGTGCAGGAGTCATGTGGACTACTTTTATGACATTTCATATTACCTTTTCATCATTTTGGTTTTGACAGCCCCAGCCCTCATTCATAACGAAGCCATTTTAGGTAAAAATTCCTTTACTAAATTGATGTCTGTATTAATACCTGACTTTTGCCATCCTGCTTTTAGGTGACTTCTGGGCAAAACAAACAGTTGGACAGAGTCATAGAAGCTTTAGGAAAAGTCCGATATGAAGGCGAGTCATTATCAGATTACATGATATTTTTTGGGGACTGAGTTGCTTATTTTTTATTAGTTTATCTATTCAACATGTTTTGCATTCTGCATTGTGGTTCCATGTTACCCAATGTGATCAAAAGGAAACAGCTGTGAAATTGAAGATTTTAGACTGACTGACATCATCCCTCAAGCCAATAAACTGAACTACTATCGGTACTCGGGTTCCTTGACCACACCAGGCTGTGACCAGGCCGTTGTGTGGACGGTCTTCCAACAGAGTCTGCCCATAAGCAAAAATCAGGTACAGAGAGACTTTTTCTTTTACGCATAAACCAGACTGTGATCAAGATGTTAGTCAACACTGATTACAATCACCCGTATCTGAATTTAGAATTAAAGCAAGACACTATAGGCAACATCATTTTTCTTCCATAACATGTCTTCTTTAAGAATTTAAGTGTTTAATTTACATGTTATTTTATTACATTTTAATTATTTGTATCTGTAAATTTTTATTCCAATACATACATTTAAAGCTTGTTTTCTCAAAATTAGTCATGTCAAACTTACTTATAACTTATATCAAACTTTCCTATTCCTATCTATATTCATAGGATTTTTACACAGATGTTTGTTCATACATCAGTCGTTAGATATATATTACATTTATTCCTAAAAACACAGTGAATTTTTTTTCTTGCAGTATTTTCTGGTTTATGGTCTGTTAAAAAGAGATGTCAAAAATCCCCTCTGTAAAACCTTTACCTCTGATTATGTCAACAAAATGAACTGGCTTTATCCAATGTGCAAATGAGTGCATATTTAATTAGATAATGGTTCATTTGCATATTTAAACATAACATTTCAGAAAACTTGTAAAACAAAATTATCTTGATGTACTGTGATTAATCAACTATGAAAAGTATTGTGATTTCTATTAGCTAAACCCTTTAGTGTACCTATAGTGCCTTGCCTTAAGCATATGATTATGGAAAGACAGATTTAAATTCACATGCACTGATCCTTTTGGCCATCTTTCTTTTCTTGCTTTAGCTGATGTCAGTGGATAAACAGCTGTTATTCGGAACAGAAAAACCAATGACTGGAATATTCCGTCCTGTGCAGAATCTGAATGGACGAGTTGTGTACACATCAGTGCCAGCTCACAGTCTGTGTGTCCTGCCCAATCTAATCACCCTGTTTCTGTGCCTCTTTTGTGTTTTTGGACAACAAAGGTGTTTTAATTGAATGGTAAAGAACGCGTCTCTTTTAACACAGGATGTTCTGTATCGAACTTCCAGAAACAAAGTACAGCTAATCAATCTTCTGAGCACTGAACTGAAGGTACTGGGATGGATCTCTGTGCTAAAGCGGTGAAACTTGACAATGGAGAAAACATTTCTTAGTTATTTTCTGTGTTCACAACTATTAATTGTCTCACTGGTACCTCTTTTCATGTCTTGGGATATTGTCCTTCAGTTGTGGCAGCTTTATCTGGCTTTGATTATTTCAGGATTCCCATCTGTTTTCCATTCCTTTTTTTGGTTGTTCATTACTGTATTTAAAATATTAATTTTAATAATCATATATATATATATATATATATATATATATTGCTGGGAAGGACTTCCATTTATATTTATATGTACCAATAATTATACTTGTATATAAAAGTCTTAAAAAATACAAAATAGCTTGAGATTTGAATGTGGCTCATTTGAAGCTTTCTGATCCTCCATTAAGATTGTCTCACTATGTACATTTCATTGACTTTTCCATTACTTACGACCTTTTAGAAAATGTTCATGATTTCCCAGGCCTGCGAATGCCAATTTTTACTGTTGTTTAATGTTTAATGTTCTTATGTTTCTCCTGTAATTCATATGGCTATGATTTGATGATTAAACTTGATACAAACATGTAAAACAAATTGTGCAGGGCATGTGGGGTTTAAGTTGTACATAATGTGTCCAAAGATGTTAATAAAAGTTCAAATGAAGTGACTAAACAAATTCTTCATTTAATTGCAATTATATTTAATTGTAAATATTATTTGTCATATAAACTTCCATTGGTTCAAAATGAAAATGAAATCTTTATATGTAACATGCAGGCAAAACATGCCAAATTCATCTTTGAAAGAGTACCTACTACTGACCCTTGCAGAAATGAGACTATGGTTTCTGTTTTTGTGCCTGTAACCAGGTTCTGAAGTGCTCAATCTGAGCTGTGACGCTACTCCTAGCCGTGCCACCAGGGGCGCTGTACTGTTCAACACTTCTGTTGTAGTCCCACACTGAAGAAACGTCCTTGTCAAACAAAGGGCTGGAGATAAAGAAAAAACAAATCAATAAAAAAAATCCAAATAAAAACATTTCCGATACTGTTAGATGTCCCTTTAGTTTGAATGTGACTGCTGACCTGACAGTTTGAAGGTCCTCTACAGTGATTTGGGACAGATGGATGTTCTTAGATTCAGCAATATAAACGGCTTTCCCAGCACAACTGTGGGCTTCTCTGAAAGGCATCTTTGATATATATGTATATGTATCAGATTTCATTCAGCTCTACTGACATGCGGAATCGTAAAACTGTAAGTTGATGGATTGATGGACTTACTCCCTTTCTGACCAGATGGTAGGCAAGATCAGTGGCCAGCATATCTGGGCTGAGGGCCCCTTCCATCGCTGGTTGGTTGACCTGAGGAATGGAAAAGTACCAGTGCCTAAGATCTACTGCTCAACAATGAATAAAAAAGGAAATGAAACAACAACAATTCTTTATACTGCTCACATTTTAGACTGACAATGGATTGCGACATGTTCAAACACGTCTGCTTCTCATTCATCATTTCCCCTACTTACGGTTTAACTGGAGTAACAGTTTTTTTTTATTGTCATTGTCCATGACAAAACAACATTAACGTGTTATAACCCACCTCTCACCTTTAGAGTTGAAATGACGCCTGTTGCCACCTGCAGCACAGCGTGTACTGTATCATATGTGTCGAACATGGCCTCCTTATCCTCCTGCAGTGACAAAACATATATTCAGAAAATGTTTTAAAATAAAATGATCATATTTTGGCATATTTTGGCATATTTGGCATACCTGTAGGTCTTTGTTGTATGTGCTGGGTAAGCCCTTAAGAGTCATCAGAAACCCTGCACACTGTATTACAATGAAATTTTAATTAGATAAAAGTATATAAAATATTTGTATTTTAATATTATAATATTACTATTATTTTAAATATTTGTAATAGTATTTTCTTATAATTAAATTAGGTATGCACTGATATGAAAATTCTGGTCAATTAGACAATTAATTTCATGTTATGTGATATTAAAATATTATTATTCAAATATTACACTATTTGTCTGTTAAGTATGCTACTTTTTTCATTTTATTAAATAATATTTAAAATACTGATATAAGAAAATTCTAGCCAATAAGGCAATTTTTTTTTTGTTATGTCCGATAACTAATAAATGGGTGATATTAAAATATTATACTATTTTGTCGGTTAACTATACTAATTTATATTAATTGTATTAAATAATTATGTTTAATATTGCCGATAACCGATAAATAGTCTATAGTAAAATATTATACTATTTTGTCTAAATAAATAAAAAAATAAAATATTAAAAAGTAAATTTAGGCATCATAACATTAAGCACACTCTGAAAAATGAATAATTACTTTGGATTTGCTAAAAGTGATATTTAACAGCATTATTAAATCATTCATGTTTGCAAAGATTAACTTTAAGAGAGAGTTGGATGACTGAAGTTAATCTAAATTTAAAAAGAGGAGAAAAAAACATGCACTATTAAATATCCATTAGTCGATAACTGATAAGGTACCATTACTGTATATAGTGCATCCCTAAATGAATAGCAACTAAACTAACAGCCCTAGTACTAATTATTCAATTTCCCATCTGATTAATCGTAATCATAAGACTAGTATTGGTGTCTCGGGTTGGTTTCATTAGTCAGTGCTGTATCTTACTCTGCCAAACACTCGTCCTGCTTTGCTGCGGATGAGCTCCAGGCTGTCTGCGTTCTTCTTCTGAGGCATTAAACTGCTCCCAGTGCTGCTCTCGCAAACACAAACACAACAGCACTGATTAACTACACACACTAGGCACACATACAAAGCAGAAATGGATCAAATCCCTCAGTACACATCAGCCAGCTCGTGTTCACAGTATATGTATGCCACTGTGTTGAGTATCATCCACCAATTAAGAAAACACACTGAATCCTGCACTACATGGCAGATAGTCAGCTTTTCTGAACATGATAATGTTGTTAATAAATAGGCAATAATTATTTCTGAGTGAACAATTACTATTTAACTAAGGTCAGTACTGGCTGTGCAGCAACCAGTTTGTGGTTAATAAAGTTAAATCAGTTCATGTTAACAGGCCGAACATTTCACAGGCCATAAAGAATTATAGTATTGGGAAGAAAATTGATTTGCTCAAACAATGGAGAATTTGTGATGGCGTGAGCAGGTACATGTGTACTCACTGAGATTTCTTGGCAACTGTACCATAAAAGTAATTGAATTAATTAATGTGCAACTCTGCCTAAAGCTCAAGTTAGCAACTCCTTCAGTTTCATGATGGAAATGTGCATACGTGACAAGTGGGGTGAAAATAATGCAGAACATGGTAGTAATGTAAGGAAAATACTGTACTGTTAACCCAAGGGCTTCAAATTAATGATTTCTGTCTGCTTTGACATTATGATGTATTTTGGGGCAAGACACGTTCTTGATTTCGAAACACTCTTATGCTCACCAAGGCTTCATTTATTCAATTAGAAATACAGTAAAACAGTAATATTGTGAAATATTATTAGAACTTTAAAAATGACTGTTTTATATGTTAATATATTTAAAAATGTATTTTATTCCTGTGATGGCAAAGCTGAATTTTTAGCAGCCATTACTCCAGTCTTCAGTGTCCCATGATCCTCCAGAAATCAGTCTAATGTGCTGATTTGCTGTTCAAGAAACATTTCTTCTTATTATAAATTAAGAAAACAGTTGTGCAGGTTAATATTTTTGTGGAAACCGTTCAATGATTCAGTTTTTTCAGGATTCTTTGATGAATTTTATTTTTGTGATTTTTGCATTTATTACAAGTAGAGCAGTGACAGGAATGGGATTGGAACAAGACCCAGGTCAGACCTACAGCTTTTATATGTCAAGGGCATATGCACAGTCACAGAAAATTTGAATGATTTTTTTTTTAAATTATGTTTTCAAGATTGACCACTGCTGTCACTTCCCATTATAAATCATGTGCTGTCCTCACCTGTAAGCATCAGTCAGAGTAATGAAGGAGAACTCCTTTGTACTGTATAAAATCAGATCCTCTGCCATCTTGCTGAGGTGTGTGAGACACATTGATGCCCAGAAGAGAAACTCAGCTGTCCAAAAATATACACAAACACATTCAGTTAAACACACTATTCACCCAAATCATTTGATCATTTACTTTCCCTCATGTTGTTTTAAATCTGTATGACTTTCTTTATTCTATGGAATATAAATGAAGATATTGTGAACAATGTTGGTAACCAAAGTTTTGGTGACCACTGACTTTTATTTAATGGACCAAAATTTTTCGAATGATCTTCTTTTGTGTTCCACAGAAGAATGAAAGTCATACAGGTTTGGAACAAATTGAGGGTGAGTAAATGACGACAGAATTGTCATCAGAATTTTTGTATGAATCATCCCTTTAATTACAAGGGATACTGATGACCTGTAAAGTTTGCAGCATGATTATACATACCAACGAAATCTCTTTGTCCGGTAGCATCCATGCTGTTAATGCTGATACTATCAAATTTTAGTTCTTTGGAGTGAAAAAAAAAAAAAAAATGTAAATAGCTGACCAGTTTGACCTATATACACAAACATATATCATAGGAACACACTTCATGAATCATTACTTATATGGGAAAACAAATGTCATCAACCTTGGCGAAGAAGTTCTCTGTCAATGTTGAAGGGATTCCCAGCAATGGCTCCACTGCAAGGCAAATAAATATATATCATATATCAATGTATCTCAAAAATAAAAGTGTGCGCAGTACTGTTCAAACGTTTAGGGTCAGTAAGACTTTTTCTGTAAACTTAAAACTATTATTTAGTCAGGATGCATTCACAAAGGACAGTAAATGCATCTATAATGATAAATTATCAAAGATTTGTATTTCAAATGCTGTTCTTTTGAACCTTACATTATTAAATAATCAAGAAAAAATGTATCACAGCTTCCACACATATATATTGCAGTAGTGTTTTTAACATTGAAAATAATAAGAAATGTTTCTTGAGCACCAAATCAGCATACTACAATGATTTCTGAAGGACTATGTGACACTGAAGACTGGCGTAATGATGCTGAAAATTCAACTTTGCCATCACAGGAATAAATAGCATTTTAAAATATATTCAAATACAAAATAGTTACTTTAAATTGTAATAATATTTTAAAATATTACT